TCTCTCTCTCTCTCTCTCTCTCTCTCTCTCTGTGTGTGTGTGTGTGTGTGTCTGTCTCTCTTGCTCGCTCGCTCGCTCGCTCGCTCACACACACACACACACACACACACACACACACACACACACACACACACACACACACACACATGGGGAGACGGCTACAATTCCAGCCTGCTCCACAGAATCATATGTCAGGCATGGACCTGAATATTCGCACGTACATCCTGCATCGTCCAGGTCATGTCAGTGCTATTACCTTTGCAGATAATTCATGGACATCATGGGACAATGGCGGTAGGGTGTACACGGTGGGAAATATTTACTCTTTCTATCACCAAGCAGTAGAATCCCGCTCGGTCTGGAATCTGGATGGTGAATCAGGAACAGTATGTGGATGTGCACCAGCAAGCTCTACAGCCTCCCGAAAGCAATCCGGCTGAGCCTTCCCCATCCCCTGTACAGGCCAGGCAGCGTCTCTTCCCTGTGTAAGGATTCTACCACGGATAGTGAAGAGGCCTCCCCAGAGGATCTTAGCTGTGCCATGCCATTGTGTCGCCAAACAGCTACAGTTCGGTTAGTATCAGGCGGCCGTACGGAGGCTGAAGAGGCTGCCCCCGGGGCCAACAGCAAGAACTCAGGATCTTCTTTCCATAGCATTACAACTTATCCATGACCCTCTTTTTGTAAGGGACGCTGGACCCGTTTCCAGCAGCTGCTACTCCCCACCAATAAGACTGGAGCTACCCTCCAGGAGGGTTAACAGTGGCTGGTCTTATCACCACTGCTAGCCCTCCCAGAGGTACTGTTTCAAAAAAAAAAAAGTTCGGTTAGCATGCACATGACATAGTCTCTGCTCCGAACACTATGAAGGAATGGTCACTGCCAGCCTCTGCAGCGAAAACTGGGACCCGTTGTCCTGTACTCATCCCCTCCGCTCCCTTATTACTTGCCCGACATGCCATGCCTATGTGATCGCCGCTTCGCGCGTTTTCATAAACCCAAGATTTATGTTTTACGCGAGCAACACAGGCTTTTAGAGTCTGGACAAAGAAGACAGAAATCAGAATGCGCGAATTCGTTCTATTAAATCTATTTGGCATTTTACTATCCAGTGTGCTAACGTTAGCCTGCTTTCTTGCTGGCATGTCAAGCAACATGCCATTTGTCATCAATGTTTCCAGGAAGCTGTCATAGAAAGTATGTGCATCTACTGTGTGGACTACCCCCGATGCCATCACCCACCAAATCCTCTCCTATCATGTCCCATATGCAGCGTTCGTCATACACCTGCTGCGCCCGTAGTCGGAGCTCCTTCGTCCTTGCTAGACGAACGACAGACGCAGCAGCCTGAAGAGGAAAATAGTTTACGATATGAGCCACCGACAGAGGGCTGTGCTGAAAGGTTGTCACCACCAGGGTGACCAGGGCGAGCTATTGCACACCAAATCTTACAACAACTAAACACTCTTGCTTTGGACCAGTCCCCGTTGTCGTCTGCCGATGGATGGGGAAGAATGACTGAGGAAATTTCACAAGATACCTACCTGCTCAATGCTGCTCGGTGAGGATCCACCGGACATTAGGCTAGCATGTGGCTCGCATGCTTTGTATCGTTAGAAATATGAGGGCATAGTCCATGCAAGTTTCAGTTTTCACACATTTGATGACAGTCAACATTGCGCACTCATGTACGGCACCCGACATCATCATCTCCAATTTCTAGACAGGAGCTGGAACGACAATGCCTATACAATTGTGGTCGGCGTGCCTCTGTGTTCCTACATGCCAGTCGATGCAGCAGCAGTAAGTATGGAAATTAGATGGGGTGCGCTTCTATAGTCCACACCCGAACCGATCGTGTCTGGTCTTTAGGGGTGGCCACTTACGATAGGCAACATTTGCTCCTCAACTCGTAAACTCCTGCAACCGATACACTGACTACCGTCTTCACCCGAATAGAATGCCTGGTAATTATCGCCGTATCTGGGCTGAAAGTTGTGCCAAATACAGCTGTAATGACCGGGCGTTCTATTCGGGTGAAGACGTTAGCCTTTTGAGCTGTTCTCCGTATTCCACGCCAGCGGTGAGGATTACGAACCCTGTGAAGTTCGGTACTCCTCTGTTCTGTGCTTTGCCACCCCGCTTGCCTCCTCTTCCCCTTCTTTCCCTCCGTGCTCCTCACCTCCTATAAAACACCCCCTTCCCTTTCATTTCTTCCGCTTCATTCCTCCCTTCGAGCCCCCTTGTGTATTGCTAGTAAATATACATACGAATGAGCATCATTAAGAGAACAGGCAAAATATAAGCTGAAGACCTGAAGAAAAATGAACAGGAGTATATCTCCCCCTTTACTCTACCTCCTTGCATAACATGCAAGTTTGCCCTTAAACCACCACTACCTTTCCTGCCGTTGGGAAAATGGGAAAATACTTCAAAATAGCCTACTCCTAAAGTAATAGGGGGCTGAGCCTGACCACGGCCACTGTTGATAAATCTCATCGGCGGCTGTCATTTCGTTTTGTCCTCTTCCTCTGAAACGATCGGAATGTGAAAACGACGCCCAGGTAGTGGTGGTTTGACTGCTTAAAGAATTAGCCTTTTAGGGGGGGGCGGGAAACATCATCATTGAACTGACTAGCCCCAGGTAATTCAGAATTATTTTTTTCAGAATTAGTTTTTTTTTGTTCGTTGTTATCGCATCTGGATTTGAACTTGGGTAAGCATTTCAACAGTTTGTGGGTGTGTCAACTGATCTTAGGCCCATTGGGTGCTAGAGGTGCCTGCTCTTATCAGCACCCCTAGCACAACAGGGTGTGTTTTCTAAGCTTTTTTGTCAAAAAAAAAGAAAAAAATAAAAGGAAAAAAATAAAAGAGGTAGGCCCATTGGTTACTGTGGAATGGATTGTGTGCAGCAGGTGGAGTGCAACAGGTGTACTTTCCCCCCCTGGAGTCGACTCTATCACAGAATCTGATATTGGTAAGTGACACTAAGTGTACTAACTTTTTTTTTTTTTTTTTTTTTTTTTTTTTGGGAAAATATTCTTGTGGGTTTGCTGGCTCCTTGGTCATCACGAACATCTGGAGCAAGGTCGCACTAGGAAGCAAAGAGGATTGGATGAAGCGCCAGAATGTGAATGTGTTTTATGCAGAATGCAGAAAAGCAGATTGATCATTGATAGCGATTTTCTGCACCTCTCCACAAAAAAAGGTCCACATTCAGAAGTTAAATCCAATTCTCTTTGCTGGTGGGACCTCGTCCCCTTGTAATCTGCCAAGGAAGGCACCGATTTCTACTCACTTTATTCGTACTTTTATATTTTCGACAAGTATCTTTTATTTGTGTGTTTTTGTACACTTTTGCCAGGAAATAAGCAATGCAAACAGCCATAAAACAGATTGCCACATCTCACAGAAGACCAGACATCATTCAGCGGAAATTGAAAGCAGGAATCAATGCGAAATGCACATCTCTCTCTCTCGTGCGTGCGTGCATCGCCGCTTGCTCCCACTCCCGCTGCCGTCCGCTCCAACCCTCTCTCTCTCTCTCTCTCTCTCTCTCTCTCACACACACACACACACACACACACACACACACACACACACACACACACAGAGTGCTTTCATTTTCGCGGCAGCGCCACAAAAACTGCATACTCCAAATTCGACTTCCCCGCTCAAGGGCATGATGGAAAGATGCATGCCCGTCACGAGGTCATATCAGGCAGGGACCGGTGAAATGGGACCCGTGGTCCCACAAGGGCTTGCACCCCCTCACTGGCAGGGGCCTGCAGGAAAGTTCTGAGGCCCCAGGGGCAAATCAGGGTAAGTAGGCTGTCGGAAGGTATTTCGCAGATAAATGAAACTTTCAGGGGTATATCAAAAATCCCCTCCCCCCCCCCCCCCCCCCCAAAAAAAAAAAAAAAAAAACCTNTTTTTTTTTTTTTTTTTTTTTTTGTTGAAAAAGAGCAACCTTTATTAAACTGTGCGTTTTGGGAAGTTTGAGCTTTGTTTTTCTTTTCTTTTTTTTTCCAGAGAAAACATCAGGAGTGAGTTCCCACTAGCCATATATGTGGATTAGTATGACGGGTGTGGGACAGGTGTGGGACAGGTGGGCCGCAGCATGAAAAAGAAACATTTCATTGCCAAACAAATGACTGTAGATAGGTACCTGTCGTGGGTCCAGAAACCGACCTCTACAACACCCTGGGTTAAAAAAAAAAAAAAATAATAAATAAATAATAATAATAATAATAATAAAAAAAAGAGCTGTGGCTCAGTGGTTAGAGCACCGGTTGGAAATGCGCATTCTGGTATAAGTTTGTGGGTTCAAAACTCAATTGCAGCCTTGCGCATGGACACCGGCAGGGCGTTAGAATGACGCACGGCTGGACACACACGCGCGGACACCGGCAGGGCATTAGAAACACGCACGGCTGGACATATACACCCCTTGGGCTGACACATGGTAAGCTATTACAGACACTGCCTGCGCACACCAACCATGGTGTGTTGTATGCGGCGTCCTGGCCTATGAGGGGCCCTACCGGATCATGAATCTGGCACATACACAGAACCAGATTGATTTTAATGTCAAAGAGGCCGAGGCCGGCTCCCCTGAAGGGTAGAATGAGGTCCATGTATGGTATTTTGAAAAAGGAGGACCCTACCGGTTCGTGAATCTGGTGCAAAAACAGCGCCAAATTCTTGAATTCTTGAACCGGTAAAAACAGGCCCAGGGAAGGCTCCTTCCACCCATGCTGAAGACGTTTGGGCCTGTAGAGTACCAAAAGGCCGAGTTCCGGGCGCCCAAAACCAGAAAGGTTTTGGCGTGGGCACTTTCTAGCAATTATCCCCCGTTGGTCCCCGCCCCCGAGTGGCATTGAGCAGAGACTGCTGATGTTCATAGAGGCAGGGGACCGGAGAGGAGGCAAAGCGCCTGAAGAAGCATCGGTCCTGATGCTATACCGGCTGACCCCTGGCCGGTATCGCCCACCTGCTGTAGCACCTGCTGGTGGGTGCAGCTGAGCATGGATGTGGCTGCTACTGCTTCCCCGTAATACTATAATGACAATAAAAAAAGGCCTGAGAGGCCGCCCTGTCCAGATTCGACGGGTAATCGACTTCGTTGGGCTTGAAAGAAAAGAAATAGCCTTTTAAAACAAAACAAATGACTCCGTTGGGCTTGAAAGAAAAGAAATAGCCTTTTCTGAAACAAAAGAGTGTATATGTTCTTTTTTTTTTTTCCCCTCTCACCTCACATATCTTTTAACTGCTGTTCTGCCATGTCATCATGGAACATATCTTTCTTTTCAGAACCTACCTACCACTACTCCTAATAAGGCTATACAGGGGACCCCTGCAAGCATAGCTTTCTTCTTCTTCTTCTTCTTCTTCTTTTTTTCCCCTTTTTTTCACCTCTCTTCGGTGAAGGGAGGTTACCTCTCTCGGTGGAGAGGGGTAAGGGCATGTTTGCCCCTTTGCCCTAGCATTTAGGGTGCAGGTTTGGGGCCCCCGCCAGTGGGGGCCCCGCTAACACAAAGGACAAAGCATTTCCCACCAACTGTGCCTCCTACCAGAATGGTACTCCTAGAATTAGGATCGGAAAAAAAAAAAAAAAAAAAAAAAAAAAAAAAAAAAGAAGAAGAATTAGGATCGAACCCAAGAGCCTAGCTCAGTGGGTACACCACTGAACTGTCGAAATACAGACTCGTGTTCGAACCTAGATGATGGAACTTTTGACGAGTAAAATCAAACATTTCTGAATTGCGTTTACTCAAACATTTCTGAATTGCCCAGGGCCGGGCTGCTCATTGAAATTGAAGAAAAAATTAACAATGTAGTTGAGGATTACCTCTCTCGCAGCATACTACATCGTTCAGCATAGTTTCACCATTGGTTCGAACCTAGATGGTGGAACTTCACGAGCAAAACCAAACATTTCTGAATTGCCTGCGGCCGTTCTGCTCAATGATGCTCTCTCAAGACCACCCTTTTGGGGAAAAAAAAAAAAAAAAAAAGGATCGATAGGGACTCTAAGTAGATTGACCAACAGTTCTTTTGCCCTCTCAGGTCTGACGGACGGTGACGACTGTTGTTGTCCGGGGGCTAGGTCCCACTTACACGAAATTAAGCGATACTGGCCGTAGATAGCAAAGATCAACGGCCAGATAGATAGCAAAGATCAACGGCCAGATAGATAGCAAAGATCAACGGCCAGAATCTCTTAATCCGTGCAAAGCAAAGATCAACGGCCAGATAGATAGCAAAGATCAACGGCCAGAATCTCTTAATCCGTGCAAGTGGGACCTTGCCCCGGACGACTACAGTCAGAGCCGACGGAAGTGGGCGTGCGTTTTGTCGGTGGATTTGGGTTGGGAGGTTGTGGGTGGAACCCCCCTGAGGATGATGATGGGCTGGCAGCCATGGCTGCGTCAGCCATCGAAACGCGGCGTCGGGGACGCCATCCTGTTCTGAGCATTCAAGCATATTCGTCTATCTTGTCAAATTGCTCTGTCGATGATTTTTGACGTTTCTTGTCAAAATTCTCTACGAGTTTTGACTCTACATGTTTTTAACATGTGCATGTGAACTTTCCCTCATACTCGTACATCACTCCTGCTGTCGGAGCGGGCGGATTAAAAAAAAAAAAAAAAAAAAAGTTAGTGGTAGTCAAGCAAGCTAACCTGCTTTGGCTGATCATGCACCGACCGGTCGCTGTAGCCCCGTCATGTGCCAGACGGACTCTGCTATAAAGCTGGCCCGAAATGTCAGATCTGCCCAGGGACTCTAGAATGGAGGACCTGCAACACTTCCTGTTGCAGTCCGATGTGACACCGCCCTTTTGAAAAACCTGCCTCCCGCTCATCGGGGACCTGCCGCCATATATACATATATCGTCAAATAGAACTGCCCGGTAAACCGTAGGCAGAGAGGGAGAAGAGGACAACAAACGAGGGGCTGTGACAAACTGTTATATATATATATATCGTCACAAACAGAACTGCCCGGTAAACCGT